TTTCTCCTTTATATTTCTGATGAACTCATTTATAAAGCAACTGCACATTATTCATCACTCCATCCACTGTTCTCCTAACTCCACCCTGCTGGAAACTAAGACCATTAAGGACTATAGGATTGGATTCTACTTTCCTAAAAAGCAAAATCATAACAGATATGGTTTTATTTATCTTTTTCAGGAAGGACTGATAGTTAAAATATTTTTAAAGAGAATTGCATTTTGAAAAATACTGAAATACAGGTCAAAGTGCTTCTCAGATGTTGAGATTATTTCCTTAAATGGAAACCAAATCTCTAGTCCAGTCTCGTAAACTCCATAATTCATTCTGAAGATCTGGATTCCTGAAACTGCTGGAATGCTGAAGTTCATCAAGTCTTCAAGTCTCACAGCCAAGCACCACTTTAACCAATCTTATCTCCAGGAATCAGGACTGGTCTCTTTGTAAAAAATTCATGAGTAAATAAAAGGCAAGTATGTTTTCTTGACCTCAGCTGACAGAGAAATATTAGTTCTACATATTAACTTTCGTTAGAGACATATAGAGACATAAAGACATACAGAACCTATGCAGATACAGACAGTTCAGAAGGTTTACAGCCCTCTTTTTCCTATTAAGAGTCTTGCCAGTCACAAGAATTTCTTTGGGTCACCCAGACCACAAGAAACAAGTTAGTATCCTAAACCTTGTAAAAAATAAGGGTCTCCTGCAAAATCTGTCTCCATAACCAAATCATTTCAGTGAAGACTAGGGGCAGCTACACAGTCTCATGCTGAGGTGTGGGTGCCACTTCACAGTGAATTCTGTTAACGATGCCTGTTATCTTGTTGGACTGATGATATCAGCAAATGATGAGATTTCTTCTGCCCAAGGGGGTTAGAAAATATCTATTCCATTGAACTTTAAAAGGCAGACCTGTCAAAGGGCAAGTCCCTGGGGCAGAAAGACTGGATGGCAATAACATCCAGTGTCAGCTTCTTGGGACAAGGATATGACCTAACTCCAAATCAGTAGAGAGCAGGTGGCTAGATCAAATTCTTCCCCATTACCAATTCACTGGAAATAAGCTCCATAAAAACTGCTCGTCCAAGAGTACATCATATAAAATCTATTTTTAACAAATACTGATCAGATTGACAATACAGCTGCAGCTGCTTCAATAACCAATTAGACGAGGTCCCTTCAGTGCTTCCCTTAGGAATCCCAACAATGTCTTCAATGTCCAAAATAAAACTCAACTACCTGCTCAGTTGGTTCATTCACAGGATGACTTACTGAACTCATACACAACAATCATTGTGCAGAAGGGACATTTCAAGCAAATGTATTTGCTGAGACTTACAGACATACTATCAAGAGTCACAGCCTTTCAAAGCAGGTCCAGTTGGCAGCTCTTCTCAAATTACAGGCTCCCAACACAATCAGCTACCTCAAATCTGTATCTTTCACCTTTTCCTAACACCAAACTCGTCAAGAAGCATATCAAGAGAAGACATTTTGTAACCATAAACAAATCATAGATAGACTATGATCTAATAGATAAGCTACGATCTAATACTACTACCAGAGAGATTTTTGTCAGCAGTAGTGTAATCCAATGATTTATTTTACTGATTTTAAATCAAAACCAGCTGGATTTTCATCTTGGCTGTACTACAAGCTAGAAGTTCAGGTATCAAATCAGTAACAATTCAGATATACAAATCACACATTAACTGATTTTGGTAACTCTTAACTGATAGCCACCACAAGGTAATCAGAGCTGGTTTAGATGTGTCCCACTGTCAGTAACAGGCATTTTCTTATTTTGTGAAGATTAAATCAGCTCAACTTAAGTCCTATGTATTGCAGGTTAACATCATGCATAGAGACAGTTACCACAGATCAGCAGAGGAGGAATAGCTTTCTTGCTTCATTCTAATTTGCCTGAATGCTTAGGGCCACACTGTCATTCACTTATCTTTGCATCTGTTTCCTCATTAATAAATTAATCCTTCTTTCCTCTCGTCAGTCAGTTCCTTGTTCTCAGTATTCACAAGGGCTCTGTATTATTGTTATACATGCAGTTGAATTACTGCACATACTAGTGCCTACTAGTCAATTGTTCCAGTGTTAAAAATGAAAGTTGTAAATTCTGGTCAAACTTGTAATATATGAAAGTGACTTAAAAATAATACAGATAAATCATTCTTTCCCAATTCCATGAAAAATGGTCTATAATAACAAGAAAAAAACCCCCACTAAACCTTTCAAAAACAATAGAAAAACAAGCTATCTGATGAATATTAACTGACAGTGGATACTGAAAAATTCAAGAAAATTACTCTTTGTGTTTCACAATTTAATAATATTTGGTTTATTCATAATTTTGCTAGTCTTCAGGGAGATACAGTGAAATGTTTCTTAGCTCCCACCCATCCACTCCAAGACTCAAACAACTCACACTGAAAGGATATCAGAGGGCGGTTTCATCATGAAAAGGTCACAAATAAGTAACAAGGTACTGGCAATTGCAGCACCTTCCAGCCCAGATGGGAATTTCTTGCTATCTCTTGCTGATACAAATCAATTATGCTATTCTAATTTCATGTAATTATTTTAATCTGCAATTAACTATAAAAGTCTACTTAATTAAAAATATATTAAGAACCCAATATGACTAGACCATGTCACATATGGGTCTGTATTTGACTGCTGTCTGCATAAAACGTTACTCCTTGCAGGCTCAGGTTTTCAAGATGCAATGTAAAATCTCAAGAAATGAGTATGTATTGCATAACACAAATTATTTGAATGTAATATCTGTGCAAAAGCTCAATCTCTGCATGAGTTTCTTGCTGTTAGTGAAAATACAGTTAACAACTAGCATTATTCCCTAATAGCTTACCAGCTGGCTGGCTACTAGTATCACCAGCGATTAGTGATGACAGTAGTTAAACTGCTCTTATGGATTAACTCTAATTAGTATCACTTGAAAATATGTTTGCAATATTTTATATACATGGTGTTGAATTAAAAACTCATCGTGTCTTCTGCAACTGTAGACTGTTCCTACACCGAGTCTTGGAAAATGCCTATTAAACGCACTATTGAAAACCTTCTGATAACTGAAGTGCCTTAATATGAACTTCTAATTGCCTAATATCAGGCTCTTGTTATTTCAAAAGTTAAAACTTCACTGATGATTTGGATATGCATATTAATGACTTTTGTTCTTGATTTAATTTAGTATGAACATTAGTACGGATATTACTTAGAGGCTTGTCATGTTTTAAGCAGATGACATCCATCAGTCCCTTCCAATCTAAACTACTGCATGTTCCTGTGACAGCCAATGGTAATAGAAGAGGGGAAAAGTTAATTTCATGTACAAGACTGTACAAGAACAAGAGCTGATGGACTCTTCCAGTAGAGGGAGATGTTCTTTTAAAGTTTATCAGCAATTAAAAAGTGCTAACCAATTTACCACTGTATCTTTTTAATAAAATCAAGCTCATAAGAGAAGTCACTAAATGTGCCTTGTTAGTGATCTTAGTGATATTCTCATGACAATCAGAAAAAAAAAAGATTCACGTCAAACAGCTGTAAGAGAAAAACATACTGATGATGGAGCAAGCTGTGCTGACAGCCGTCAAAATCAATCACGTCCTACTCCTTTTCAAATACAAAAGTCCCTCCAACAGCAATATGTTTTCACCCACACAATAGATGTAATTTCCAGATGCTACCGATGCTATAAATACCATGAAGCAGGAAAGAAAAAATATTACATTCTTGAATTTAACAATACTAACTACATATTAAACAATAATTATAAAAAAATATTGCCGGGATCACTCCCTCTGTCTCAGAACAAAATCTGAGCTGTGCTTTCCTCTTTATTTCAAAATTTATTTTTAAAAGTCTCACATCACACTGTAATTCTATTCTTCTCCTTAGGAAGTTTTCTTTTACAAACTTTCCTGAGAATCAGGGAGGTCCTGACCAGTGCAGGCTTCCACCTACTCTCTTTGAATGCAGCTCACTGAACGTTAGGTTGCAGTTCACCATTCTTCCAGTTGTGCCACTGCAACTGTGGATGATAACATAAATGAGATCTCTGAAATTTTTACTACTCTGATCTGAGTAAACATAGAATGCTCTCACTCTTGCCTTGCTTCCAAAACAATTATCTTTTGACTCAGGTAATTTCTATGATCCCTTTCAATAAAACAGCATCTGCATCAGTACAGTTGATGGTGCAGTGGACTGGGAACATGTCTAGAGGACTATCTTAATCTGGCTTTGTCACGAGAGAAATCAGCGTGAAACTACACTACAGGGCATTTTTAAAGCAATCAATCTGAGAGCAGAAATTCTGTTTATTCAAAAAGGCTGAGATTTATCATTAGTATATTTAGATGTCTATATGTCTGAGTCATTCCTGATGACTCCTCTTACAGTCTGTGGCAAAATCAGAACCCACCACAGAACCCAAACAGGTGGATCAGGAACTTTAAATGCAAGTTTCCAAAATGACTGATAAATATGGGATGGCAGGTGTTTTTTCCAACTAGATGAACAATTCAGATACAGGCATGTACAGTAAAGTGTTATTTATGTGATGAGCTGATTCTTCCATAGTCTATCTAAATAGAGGTGAGTTAAATAAAGTCTCCTTGTATTTCTTCTACAACACTCTTGATTGGTAAGGTCAGAACAACTTTGGAAAGAATAACACTATTTTCCCCATTTTAGGCACAGGAAATGAGGCACTAGGAGGTTCGCCAACGTCAGTCAGCAGCTTTTGCAAAAATCAGGAAAAATGTGCAAACCAGTCTTGACTTCTAGCTGCTACTCTTGCTAGGTGAGCAGAAATCATCACTACCAGTAAGTACACAGCTCATTTCCCATCTCTAAAATTGTGTATCAGTTCATACTTCACAGCTTCAAATGCTTTGGATATTACCATCTGAAATGGATGCCACTTTTATTTTCGCAATGCCAGGTGGAGACTCACCTGCAAGTACAACTCCAAGCCTTGCCGTCGCTGCTCCAGGACCTTGGGCACCCAGTTTCTCACATGCTTTGAAGGGATCTCAGGAGTTCTTATGAACTTCTTGAGCTGCAAACGAAAAGAAACACAGACAGAAACAAAGTACAATAGTGTGCCTTTAAATATGTTTATGTTAGACACGAGGCAGTAGAGGTAAAATAATCATGCATAAAAGACACAGCATGGCAATGAAGCTACACACCACCAGCTCACTGAAGTAACTGCATACTTCACACCTACAGATCCCTAAAAATCTCCACATTTAGCCACCCTGGACAGTGAAGCAGAACGCTACCAACATTTTGTTGTGACTCACAGCCTTAAAACAAAAATGCAACAACTACACAACAATACTTGAAATGAATCAACTGGAGATGATGCCTCACAATGTCACTGCAATGCAGCCACTCATTACCTTGATAAGTGCAGTGACAAAACAACACAGCAATTTCTAACTCTAGATTTAGACAACTACGAACAGGTGGGAGAAGTACAGGTAGAAGAGCTAACCATTTCTCTGCAGATGAGGCATGCAAAATATCTGTGCTCTCAAATTGCACCAGCAAATTGACAGTTGTGTTTAATATCTTGTATGGAGAAATAGCAAGATTGCCAATGAATATAGTTCCAAGAGAGGTCCATAACTACTTCTCTAAAGATTCCCACAAGAAAGCTTTTCTAGATATATATGGACATGTGTGTATGCATACGTATGAGTGCATATAGATAGAGAGAAACATACATTCCAATACTAAGATCTCCTTGCTAGAGCAACTTATTTTTTTCAAAACAAAATAGAATATTAATGTTTTCCTCAAAACTACAGAGAAAAATTATAACTAGAATATACTCCGTTGCATTCTAATAGAAGGTGACATTAGACATTCTTTCCGTTGCATATTGCCTCTGAGTAAATCTGAGGCAAGGAATGCAAGGAAAGAAACTCAAAATTGACTTTGACATGCTTACCCATAGGGGACTAAGAATTTACATTTCATCTTTGAGCTTGCTGAGATGTCACTATAGGAAAAAGCAATGCCAACGTATCAATGTCTTTACAATCACAAGTAACAAAGCTGCGGCAAGAAAACCTCAATTGCTCTGGAAATATTTCGCAACGTCCTTATTTCTTAACAGTGCTAAATTACAATTAAACGTGAAGTGAGGAAAAATAGCCCACCAAAACAAAACCCCAGCCTGTGTATTTTTCTTAAAGTGAGAATATAACCCCCCTTTTTTTCCTTTAAACTGGTCAAGAATGTTGAAGTAGCTGTGGTTACAGCTGTTGCAAACCATGACAGCACCTGCAGATGCGTAATAAAGGAGGAGACTACTTCAGATGAGGGGAGACAAATCTGAAACCATCCAAGTGTTCACCAAGACCTAGTTGCTTATGTGATAAATACTCCGTGGCTGGTACCTCAGCTGCTGATTAACAATCCTTTTGTGCTCCATGGCCCTGTTATATAAAGCATCCAAAACACAGTGGCTTAAATGTGCATGCACAGGTACTGTGTTTAGCTATAAACACATGCTATACAGATGTACAAAGAATAAATAACAAGCCCACTTTCCTATGCTTACACTAATCCAATAAATATTCCAAAAAGTGATCACTACAATGTCAAAGAATATTAAGCAAATCTATGTATGTGTAAGGTATATTGCTTCACAATGCTGTCCCTACACATGAAATATTTATCTTGTCTGTAACATCGTCCTGTCCTTAACACTGACCTAATACCTATTTGACATACTGTAGCTTCTATTTCCCACAAGACTAAAGGATGACTCAAATTATCAAGAATTATTTCTCCAAGTGTGAAAAGTCAATGATTTAGAGTGTACACTAATTATTCTAAAATTACAAATAACTTGCAAAACAACATGTGTAAAACTTAAGATTTCTGTAGGGAGTGGAACATCTCCCTTCTGAGGAGAGGCTGAAGGAGCTGGGTCTCTTTAGCTTGGAGAAGAGGAGGCTGAGGGGTGACCTACCTACTGTAGGTGATCCTGCTCTGGCAGGGAGGCTGGACTAGATGATCTATTGAGGTCCCTTCCAACCCCTAACATTCTGTGATTCTGTTATTTCACTGTAGTAGTTTTAACACTGTCACCTTTAGCATTCTGGTATCTAAAAAGAACTGCCAATATTTAAAACCATAAAGGAAAAAAAGTATAAAAAGTAATTAGGGAATAAACACAAATAAATGGTTGTATCTTTAACTGTTATACACATAGAAAGAATTTATTTATTTCTAAAAAACTCTCCATATGAGAATAATATAACTTTTAACCAGACTTGAATGCAAAACTGCAATGTGAACGGTTCATAACCTGAAAGGCCTGGTTTGTTATTCATAACCAGGGCAGAGTATAATGGTCTATGCAAACTATTTCAGAAAAGCCAACAGCAGTGAATGGTTTCTGTCAAGGGAATAGTTTGTACTCCTGGAGTAAGAGATCTTGAATAAACCTTTTCCACTACAGCCAGATTGCACAGGAACATGGGTTTTACTTTTTATACAGAATCATAGAATCATGGAATTTCACAGAATCATAGAACAATTTTGGTTGGAAGAGACCTTCAAGATCAACTCCCACCACTGTCCCTCAGCACAACATCCTCCAGCCACGGCAACTCAATCACCTCCCTGAACCTCCCCTGCTGCAATTTACATCCATTCCCCTTGTCCGATCCTCTCCACTAGGGAGAACAGACCAACGCCCGCCTCACTACAACCTCCCTTCAGATAACTGTAGAGAGCGATGAGCTCTCCCCTCAGTCTCCCCCAGGCTAAACAGCCCCAGATCCCTCAGCCTTTCCTCATAGGACATATGTTCCAAATCCTTTACCCTTTTCCAGCTTGGCAGCTGCCTCTGTACCCTCTCCAGCACCTCAATGTCCCTCTTGCAGTGAGGGACCGAAAACTGGACACAGCACTCGCGGTGAGGCCTCACCAAAGCCGAGTACAGGGGCACGATCACCTCCCTGCTCCTGGTGACAGCACCATTCCTGACCCAGGCCAGGATGCCGTTGGCCTTCTTGTCCCCCTGGGCACACTGCTGGCTCATGTCCATCAACACCCCCAGGTCCCTCTCTGCCTGGCAGCTCTCCAGCCACTCCTCCCCAAGTCAGAAGGGCTGAACCCAAGAAGGAGAAAAATATAGATGTATTCTTGTAAATGGCTTTGTTTAAAAAAGAAAATTAATCAAAACAGTCATTCTGATGAATTAATAATGTCCTATATGAGCAATGGAGTCCTCTTTTCTCCGCATGATGCCAGTGAAGCATGTCCTTCTCCAGAGAAAGGCACAATCTCTCTTCAGCCTCTAGTCCCATTTTGTACCATGGCTGTTCTAGAGAAGCTTTGTTTCTCCTGCTCACCACAGATACCTCCAGCACTAAGGGCACCTTGAATATGCAGTAAGTCTAAAGATGCCTTTCCAATTGCCATGTACTCAAGTAATTTAGAGTGAAACTTACATTTCAAATTAAAGTGGAAAAGAGGAACAGAAAACAAATACGCTATTGGCATGCTGAAAGCAAATTGGTACTTGGATCCAAGTATAAATAGCATCACATGGGATGTGAACAAATTGTTCACAAAGAACAACCTAGATACAAGTTCAAAATACTGTTCTCCAGTAAAAAAATGGTCAAATGTACACCTTACTTTTTAAAGAATGTTGAGATTTTCTGCTCTAACAGAAAACAGAGCAGAAAGAGTAAAACTGTACACTGTATTACCAGAGACCACTTTCTCCAGGATTTCGGTAACATTAAATCACTAAGAAGGGTCCAGAGCACAAGCTGTTCAACCAGGTTCACTGACATTTTACAACAATTTCAAGAAGTAAGACCTAAAAAAAGAGGTATATTTTTTGCCAAAATATGCTGGATGCTTTGCATCTCTACAGTGAACAAATAAAAAAAAGTCACTACAAATTTCACAGAGCTATATAAACAGACAGGAAGAAGATGAGGATAAAGATGAAACAAATTGAAGAGTAGTGCAAAGTGTCTGGTTAGAACACCAGTTTTTCAGGTTTGTTTATTTTGTTGCTATTTCTGAAGACAGAGACAAAGGTACCATCATTTGTGTTTCTTCTGGTGTTCTAAGGAGAAATCTCTGTAAAGGGAGTTGCTGCAGAGGAAGCAGCACAGAAGGAGAAAAACCTGAGAAAGAGACTGCAGTCATTCATTACATTTGTGTGGAGGAATTGTGCAACTCCCGAATTACACTGAAATTAGACAACAAGGGGAAGGAAAAAAAAAAGGGGGGGGCTTCGAAGCTTTCTTTGCCTCAGTCTTTAATAATACTGATAGACCTCAGGATGTCCAGTCCCCTGAGTCAGCGGACCATTAGTGTGGGAATTGAGAATTTCCAGTTGTGGACACTGAAATTTTAAGAGAGCAGCTGTATTAGCTGAATGTTCACAAGTCCATGGGGTGCAGTGGGATTCACCTGAGTACTGAAGGAGCTAGCAGATGTTATGGCAGGAGCTCTCTCAATCATTTACCATACATCTTGGGAGTCTGAGGAGGTCCTTGCTGACTGGAAGCTATCCAGAGTTATGCCAGTTTACAAGAAGGGAATGAGAGAAGACCCAGGGATCTACAGATGTGCTAGGCTAACCTCAGTTCCTGGAAAAACTATCATATTGCATACTACTGAAAGGCATTTAAAGAACAATGCAAATACTAGATACAGTAAACATGGGTTCACAAAGGGAAAGTGCTGTTTAACTAATTTGATATCCTTCTATGATAAGGTCACCCACCTCTTGCATGAAGGGAATCATAGAATCATTTTGGCTGGAAAAGACCTTTAAGATCATCAAAAGTTGTGAATGTGGTTTTTCTGGATTTTAGTAAGCCTTTGAATGCCATCCCTCATTTTTCTGGACAAGTTATCCAGCTGTGAGATAAGCAGGTTCATGGTGCACTGGGTGAAGAACTGGTTGAAGGGCAGATCTCGAAGTGTTGCAGTGAATGGGGTTATAATCTGGGGGTGACCAACCGCCAGTGGTGTTCCTCAGGGCTGAATCCTAGGGCCAGTATTCCCTAGACAACGTGTTTCTTAATGATCTGGATGTAGGAGTTGAACACACCATTAGCAAGTTTGCTGATGATATGAAGCTGGGAGGTGATGTCGACTCTCTTAAGGAATACGAGGTCTTGCAGAGGGATCTAGACAGACTGGAGCACTGGGCAATTATCAGTGGTATGAAATTTAACAGGAACAAATGCCATACTCGGCACATGCTAGGTGCAGATATAAATTGGGAGAGATACGGCTGTGGAGAAGCTGTGCAGAAAGGGATCTAGGGGTGCTGGTCAGCAGCAGGCTCAATGTGTGTACCCTGGCAGCCAAGGGGGAAAACCCTGGGGTGCATCAAACCCAGCCTGATGAGCAGGTCGAAGGAAGTGACTATTCCACTGTACTCAGCATTGGTGTGGCATTACCTTGACCACTGTATGCAGGCCTGGGCCTCACAACTTAAGAAGGATGTGAAGGTGTGTGAAAGCATCCAGAGCAGAGTAAAAAAGCTAGTGGAAGGCTGGAAGGCATGTCCTGTGAGAAGTGCCTGAGGACTTTTGGTTGGTCCTGCCTGGATGCAATCGAGTGTAACTTGCTACAGGCAATTCTGCTTTAGCAGGAGGGTTGAACTAAACAATCTCTAGAGGTTCCTTCCAGTGATTCCATGATTGTGTGACCTGTGCTCTCCCAGGGCATGTCCCCGCGGAGCACATCGCCTTGCGAGTTGGTGGTGTTACAGAGAGACGTCAGCAGAATTATTAGTTCTAGTCCACAGCTGGAAGGGTCACGATCCCCCAGGCAAAATCAGCGGCTCCCACAAGCTCCACAAAGGCCAAAGGAATACCATGTGCCATTCTGTGGGCAGTTTTGGGCCCCCAAATTTAAGAGGATGTCAAGGTATGACAAGGTGAATACATCCAGAGGAGGGCAACTAAACTGGTGAAAGGGCTGGAAGGCATGTCCTACGAGGAGCAGCTGAGGACTTTGGGTTGGTCTAGCCTGGAGAATAGGAAGCTGAGGAGTGACCTTATTGCTCTCTGCAGCGTCCTGCAGAGGGGAAGCGGAGAGGGATGTGCTGAGCTCTTCTTCCTGGGACCCAGAGAGGGGATGCCCAGGAATGGTTCAAAGCTGCATCAGGAGAGGTTCCAACTCGACATTAGGAAGCACTTCTTTATCGAGACGGTGGTCAAACACTGAAGTAGTCATCAATGCCTCATGCCTGTCAGAGTTTATGAGGCCTTTGGACAATGCCCTCACTAAGACACACCTGAATCAAAACAGTAATTTCTGGTTAGCTCTGAATAGGTCAGGTAGCTGGACTGGATGATTGTTAGGTCCCTCGTTGCAGCTTAAACCTATTCTATTCTATTCTATTCTATTCTATTCTATATTCCATCCTATTCCTATTCCTATTCCCATTCCTATTCCTATTCCTATTCCTATTCCTATTCTTATTCTACAGGAGACAATCTACTTGGGTAGGGTGCATCTAAATCCTCATTTTCCCCTCTTAATGTTTCCTAACTTATTTAGTTATATAATCTCTACTCACCTGCTTTACTTTCAATGGCAGCATTATTTTCAAACATAAAATAAAGCATGTGTGTATTGCAAGGCTTGGTGGTGGGTGAGTGAATTTTATTACTAGTTCTAACACTTGCTCATGTGGTATCACATTCAATGTGAACACAAGAAAAAAAATATCTGAGATCTATTTGAATTAAAATGACAAAGAAAGAAATTAGTATTAAGTAGTGGCAGCTGATACCACAACAAGAAGACAAAAAAAACAAGGACTAGCACATCTTGCAGTAAAGCAAAAAAATTTTTTTTTTATTTTTGAGTGCTAACAAACAGATGGCTTTTTGTTGACCCAAGTTTGCTTATACCCATACACCATATAAGGCTAGCAAAATCCATCCTCTCTGCCACTAGGATAATGATTCTTCCCTGAAAAAGATGATTTCTGAGCTGAATCAGGGCCACCAGCAAATGTACAGATGTGGGTAAGGTGTGCTGACACAGCAGTGGCAGGAGCTGTAGATGTGTGCCTGTGTGCCTCTCTGTCATTTGCAGCTTTGTGATGCTGAAGGCAAGCAGCATCAGCCAAAGCAGCTGAGCGTGCACACACTCACTCCACTGCCACTGAGAGCTACAAACCAGCAAATGTTCGGTTGACCCAGGTCCTAGGAATGAAAGACTGAGGCTCTTCACCACTGCCCCAGCTGCTGGAAATGACCTTCAATGCTTTTCCAGAACTGTCCTTCACAGTATTTGGCCTCCATAAGGCAGAAAAAATGTAAACTTGCCTTTCAGCTGCACACCAGTATCATCCAGTTTAGCTTGGAGAAGAGAAATCATACTTTTAACAGTGATTAAAACAATGTAAAGAACCATTAGTAGATAACCAGTCTTGAAAGTACTGGGTTCTCTTCTACATATTTTATACCACGTTCATTATATGAAGCCCAGCAGAGTGAAATGGTCTACTTGGTCTTTTTCATGTCCAGTCTCTTGGTGTATACAAGTTGTTTCCTCAGCTTTACATCTATCAGGTTTGCAGCAGAATTTATAGAACTGACAAATTATTTGCCTAACTGGATAAAACCCCAAAATGTTATTTATTTGCTATAGGAATGTGGTTATTTTGTGATTTTAGAAGAAGAAAGAAGACATACTACAGAAAGCATTGTAGCAATACAGCATGTCAACATTAATCAAGAAGAAAAAGAGACGTTAGTAGCATCTGAGAAGTCATCATCCCTTTCCACAAAACAGAGAAGAAACCAAGTTTTTTGGAAACTCCTTTTCAGAGACATGAATCACAAGAAGTATTTAAGAGAAACCATGTATAGTAACCATTTCAGGAGAGAAGAAAACATCATAACTAAGGCAAAACAAAGACAAATCTTGTAAAGAAAGAGATCATTACCTTTTTATGAAGTGCATGAAATTCACTATACCTCTTCTCCACAAAATGCTTCCTTCCACTCATTAGCACCTCTATTTTAAAGACCTGAAAATTATAAATAATAAAAAGAAGATTAATGTTACTTGCATAAACAGTTCTGTGACATGGTTGTGACTGCACATTTTCCTGTGGATATTACAGTAGGTAGTCAAAAAAGCCCTGTGAACGCTCATGAGGCACAGAAGAACAACAATTAATGGGAAGTATGGCTGAATTTTCTGTTAACTTTGTTCAACAGACACACAAAAAGAAAAGTCAAGCTTGGACTGTATACTGCACATTAAGAACAAAGCATTAAAATATTCCCTTTCAGAAATATTTAATGCTTTTTAGGAAAGCTGAAAAAATATTTTTAAAAGATGATGGTAGGAAGAAAAAAAAGAGAAAAGTCAGAAAGATTCATTCTTCCTCCCTCTTACAATACGGCATACTGACACACACATGTTCAGTAAGAACTGGATAACAGCTACAATACATTATGCCTGGAAAATGAGAAGTAAATGCAAACACTGTATCATAAGTTAATTTCCTCATCACTTACAAATTCATCTGTAGTCTCAATTGAGTTTGTGCTACTATTTACACCCTAGGAAAAAAAGACAACAAAAACCAACAAAAGAACCCAAACATGGCAAATGCTTGTTTTCTTTGTATGATACATGTGACAGCTTTTGTTGCTGCCTCTGGAAGGTTGAAAGGCCAGGAGAAGAAGCTCTCTGGATCCACTAATTAGCAGTCACTAGTATGACATTTTCCTGATTCTCAGGTCACCAGGTCAGTTCTGAGGGCAAGTGATGAGAAATATTTTGAAGTACTCAGGAAAACACGGTCTATTAAATGAAGACAAAATCAGCAGAAAAGCAATTCAGAAAAGGTGCCTGGCCTATCTAGGAGTTCTTTGTTTTCTGTTTTGCTCAGAAAACGCTGGAAATAATTATTTCCAGGACAATGAGAGACATTGTTCAGGACAGATGATTACATCAAGACCCAAGACTAAGGCCAAATAAAAAGTTCTTTGAAATAAATTTGCAAACAGTGTTTATGCCTGAATGCAGAAAAAAGGGATTCCTGTCACAACATTCTCAGCTAGCATTGATCTGAGCAAACATACAGAAACCATGTTGGATAAACACATTCTATTGTCCACTAGAACTTGCCTTCCAAACAGGTCAAAATGCTATGGTTTTCACCAACTAGCCAAACCACACCAGAAACAGTCAGCATCTTATTTAATCCAGACAGAAATGCATCTAGCTTTGTTTGAATGCAGCATGGATGGGACTGCAGTCATTTCACACCGATGTTCACATTACTAAAATTAGTTCAGATCATCGTAATAACTTGTGCTATATTCTACCTCTTTGAAAAGAGCTATTTCTGAGTCCTAATTGCTGCGAGCAGACAACCTTATTTGGGTGCATTGATTATTTTTTTCCCCTCTCTATTTAGACCATTTTGGTAGAACAGCTATTGGCTATTAAACAATTTTCCACTACATGTGAAAAAACTCTAAGGCACCATTAGGAATATCTTGTAAGTTCAGAACTGTAAAGAGAATCAGATGCAAAAAAAAAATAATCAATGTAGGCTTTTTTCTTTACTTGAGATCTAACATCCTAATTATATGAGAAGAAAGCATTATTTACATTTTATATTCTATACACTGCATGAAAGAAATAGTTCTGCAAGGAACAAAATGCTTTGGATTGCACAGGAAACTGCTTGGCAGTGAGTTTGAAGAATAACTTGGTAGGAAGGATGGTTAACAGACTAGGAAACCAGTTAAGTTAAGAGTGACCATGAGTCACTAGTTAAGATGTTGCACAACAGTTTTGAATTAATCTGATACTAAACATTCAGGAATCAAGAGAAACTCATAGCATCCACTCACACCTCTGTTAGTTTAGCAATTCTCTGGGCAACAGGGTTTGCCAAGAACTTCGGAGAAAACTAGGGGGCTCCTGCCTCAGCTGTAAGCACTCCCTTGACAGGTAACTTTCTTGTGAATTGTGGCTTGGCTTCTGCAGACCCATTTTGGTTTTAGGCATACATGTGCAGCTTCAGAGAAATGTCTTTCTCTCTGGCATCTATAAACCCATCATTTCATAAAGGAGAACAGTTAGAATATGGGGAAGAAAGGAAATACAAAATCCCCCATGTACCTTCTTTTCAAAGCACATGTCTATTTTGTTCTGTTTCATCACTGTTTAAGGAATTACAGAAATGGCTTCACAACACCAAAAAGTATCATAGAATCACAGAATGTCAGGGGTTGGAAGGGACCTCAAAAGTTCATCTAGTCCAGCTCCCCTGCCAGAGCAGGATCACCTACAGTAGGTCATACAGGAACGCGTCCAGGCGGGTTTTGAATGTCTCTAGAGAAGGAGACTCCACAATCTCCCTGGGCAGCCTGTGCCAGGGCTCTGTCACCCTCACCGAGAAAAAGTTTTTCCTCATGTTTTGTGGAACCTACAATGTTCTAGCTCGCACCCGCTGCCCCTTGTCCTTGGACACCACCAAAAAGAGCCTGGCTCCATTCTCCTGACACTCCCCCTTGAAGTATTTACAAACATTTATGAGATTACCCCTCAGCCTCCTCTTCTCCAAGCTAAAGAGACCCAGCTCCTTCAGCCTTTCCTCATAAAGTAGAGGTTCTACTCCCTTCATCATCTTTGTGGCTCTGCGCTGGACTCTCTCCAGCAGTTCCCTGTCTCTCTTGAGCTGAGGGGCCCAGAACTGGACACAAGATTCCAGATGCGGCCTCACCAGGGCAGAGTAGAGGGGCATTTACTCACTCACCTTTTTAATCTTAGCAATTTTAATTACTGTTTCATAATTTTTGCTAACAATATGTTACTAAAGAATATATTTGCCAGTAACTTTCATAGAAAATGTGAGAAGAGAGAACCACAGCTTTCCATGCACAATGACAGCATTTTCAGAGCCACAAATCTGCTACCCTTACACCAGAGTTTGTACCAGTATAAAAGGTTTAACTTTGCCGCCTAGCATCCAGAGCCTCTGAATCCAGCTTTAGTGGCCACCTAACATCTACAAAGCTGGATGACAGATCTGCTGGGCGTGAAGTTTAAAATTAATGTTTGAAAACAACTCTCCAAATGGTGTTTCTCATCTACTTAGCGTGGCACCTGTATTTCAGAAATACAAAGCAATTTGCGATAACTAAGTGGATAATCTGTAAATGCTTTCATTTAATGCAAATCTAAATTTTTTAACAAAAAAACTTACAAAGCAGAACTGCAAGTAAGTGAAATAATACATACTGTGATTATGAACTTCATATTATTACGCAACTTTACTTAGACAGCATAAATTCCAGATTTGCCTCCTCACTGTTTATCAGTTCACAATTCACAACAGCAAACTAAAAGCACAGAAGTGAGTTTTCTGTGCCACTATTTCATATAAATACATGGCTTTGTGTGAAAGACAGAAAGACACATTAGGTTATGAGAGCACTTAAACCTCTTCACAGAATCAAAATAACTATAGAAAAATCTCACACAAATTTAACTGAGCAATTGCAGGCCCTGACAGAAAAACAATGTAAGGAAACTGGTGTACATAGATGAAAGTGCCAAAATAAAGATGGAAGAACCATGGGGGAAAAAATGCAACACTGCAAGGAAATTACTTTTCTTGTAAAAATGTTCATGTTCTATGAACAGATAACTCTGAAAAGACATATGACTTTTTATAAATGATAGTTAGTTAAACGAAAAATGCAGCAATTAATCACTGAATAAGACAAGTTAAATGCTTTTCCCATAGTCACTGAAATTCCAGAAATTACACTGCACTGAAAGATTTGCAGTTCATCCTGACTGGGACACAAGGGAACATAGATATGAAGACCCCAATTAGAAAACTTTTTATGAGTACTCTAAAATTAGAAAAGTCTCACCTTTCCTGGTTACTACTACAAGAGTTATCAATGATGTTTGCACAAAGCCAGATCATTATCCATTAAAAGAATTCTTCCAACAGAATTTAACCCACATAAATGACATATGGGACAAAGACCTTTGGATTAGATATCAGTATGAATAATGTTAATCTTTTGCCTAGCAGAATTGCAGATCTGCCATGGCAATTCATAACCATCAAATCTGTGAAGTAAACTCTTTAAGAAGAATTCCTAAGCTTTTTATTAATAACATACCAAAATTTTTCAAGTCTAACTTTACACAGGCTTTTTTAAAAAAAACAAAAACACTTTTTTGTCTCCACTTTGTTCTGATGATATAGCCTGTGTTCAGATATTGGAAACCATTTTCTTAATTTTTTTTTGTTAGCAAATATGTCCAATTTTATCATTTTCCTGAATTTATCCATTTCTGATCATTAGCAAACTTCTACTTTAATGATCCTTTCTCACTGTTTGCAAGAATACTTACATGTCTCTTCTTGCTGCAGAAACTATACAGTACTGCTGTACAGTTGGATTATACATGGGCAAACAATTAGTAAAATATCACTGTGAATTTGCAAGACAGAAAGCACAAATAGACGAAAACAAGAACTAGTAAGACATACAAGACCCACACATGCATTCCCATAAGCCACTGGTGTTATAAGTACACACTGAGAACTGTATGGTAAATCTTTCAGTTCTTACCATTGTCAAATGCTTACAATGGATATGAAAGGACATTTTTTATCAGATAACCTGAGGTGAAAACATGTAGGTCCAGTAACTTTGTCTCAAACAAATCAGAATGATCAGTTTAACAAAAGACACAAACAAGTGACCAGAAGTAGGGAGGAAAACTAAAGAGAACAGTAACCTCTCAGCTTGATTTTCTGTTACATGAGAAATACACAAATGGTACTTTGATATTCACTCATGGAAATTACTTTACCTACCTGGTTTATAATTATGGTAAATTAATACCATCATATTGTGTAGTACATGGAAAAATGAATTGCAAAGTACATAAACTTCTGAAAAATTACAGCTGAGAAAGAGATTTGGGAGAGCCTTGTTTAGAAAGAGAAGATAGAAAAACCAGAAGCAAAAAAAAAGTTTATACAAAACAGATACACTTGTCTAACATTCACCAGGAAGGAAGACCCCACAAAATTCTAGTACTGTGCTTTTCTCTCTCAAGAAAAAGCTTACCAAAATGAATTCTATTTAATGTATTACTTACAGAAATAGATACAGCCCTTAGATGCTTCAGCTTGCTTGACAGACTTTTGTCTGAGAACAGCTAACTCATTCAATAAACTCAAACCTTTGTTATGGCCGTATGGAAGGAATTCCAGAGTAAATGAAATGACAGCTACAGTCCATGAAACACTAAGAGGATTTCCACGTGCCTCATTATTGTTCAGACAATGGCACATTTTCTGTCTCAGCTGTGCTATGACTAGAGCAAGACCATGGCATACAGCAGAGATCAAAAGAATGCTTCAAACCTACTCCCATCTGACTGGTCCAGGGGAAAACGGTATTGCACAGAATCAGTAAGAGTACCTGGGTGGTGGCAGTAATCAGAGCTGCACGTAACTGCAGCCAAAATTTGGTATCTCAGGGGTGTAAGTGCCTCATGGCAGTGCTCC